CCCCCCCCCCAACAACAGTGTGCAGAACAGCAGGGTGGGGGCCTGCACCTGCCTGAGTCCAGGGGCAAAAGGCACTCTCATTACCATGACTGATTAGTAATTAGTGTGATGGCAGGAGCCCCACCTCATTGCCAGGTTTTAGGGTGTGCCTGCAGATACTGGCCCTCACACAACCCCTTCTCTTGACCATCACTATTTCTTTTGGGACCTTGGGATACCATACCTTGGCACAGGATGCTTTGGAGAGTGAGGACCGTGGGAGAGACTGGATTTTCCATCATGTCCTCCTTGGATGCTGGGAGAGAGGAAGTGGAGGTCCCTGAACCCGTTTCAAGCACTTTCCCGGGGAAGCATGAGAAAAGGGTGCACTGGGCTGATGAGTTCAGGGCTCAGGACTCTCCACCATCTCTCCTTGGCTGCAGGAAGGGACTGGGCAGCCTCAGGTTGTGTGGATGGGCAGGTGAGCTGGGCTGGCCCCTCTCTTAAGAGGAGAAGCAGATGAAGGCCCCGTTGGAGGAAGCACCTGTTTCAGGGCCCGTGGGCCCCTTGGCCAAAATGCACACAGTGGGGTTGGACCTGGGCTTTCTGTGCCCAGTGCCAACACCTTCTGCCTGTCTGCCCAATGTTCAGCTTTCCTGGGTCACCGCACTTTGTGATTAACAGTCGGACGGTGGCACCTTCAATGGGCAAAGTGTCAGGAAGGTTGAGGAGGGAGGAGGGGAGAGGGCTAAGGTCATGGCCAAGGACGGGAGTGGCGGCATGGCCTAGGCCCCTGCTCCACCAGCCACATTGCAGGAGGCTCTTCGGCAATACAACTGCACTAGGAGAAGAAAACAAGATGACTTGGGGTCATGATGGACACGGTGGAGTTCAGGGTTCCCTCTGTTGTTTCTTATGGGGAAGAGATGGCCCAGTACTGGGTCTGCTGGCATGCAGCAAGGACAGACTCCTGTCAGGAGAGAAAGTCCCAGTCCTACCCACTCCCACGCCCTTCCTTGGTGCTACTATGATGCTGGTCCCCAGGTGTGTTCCAGGCCGGCAGCTCTGGGACTTGTGAAAGTTCAGCCTCCCAAGTCAGAAAGTTGGGGTGGGCCATCTAGGTCTAGCAGAGCCCTCAGGGGCTCTCTGGTAGTTAGGGTTTGAGGACCCCCATCTAGGGCATCATGGAGTGGCCAGCAGGGTGTTGTCTGCTGTGGTCAGTTTGCCCTGACAAGCCAGCCTTTGTGCTGGGCGCCTGCTCCAGCCAGGGCGGCCCCCAGTGTGAGTGTGGTGCTCACCCTGGAGAGCAGTCTCCTCCCTGCTCCCGGGGGCTCTGCCCGGTGTTCTGGTGCCAGTCTGGACTCACCACCGCACTTGAGGGGAAGCCAGGTTTCTAAGTTCCTGGAGGCGGGGTGGGCCAGTCTGGCTCCTAAAATGAAACACAGGTTCAGAGGCATCACTACAGATCAATACTGATACAGAAGACCTGGTGGTTTCACACACTTCCTCTCGGGAAGCTTGTGCTGTTTGTGTTGGCTCGTCCTTACATCTGTGAGCAGTGTCTTAATGGTTTTCATGTCGGAAAGCCTGTGTTTATTGGTAAACTAACTTTGTAAGAAAATTATGTATAGTTGCGAAGCTTTTCAATACATGGCTTTTGTTTGGCTTTTGTTAATTCTCACCTGAGGGTATTTTTTCCATTAATTTTTAGAGAGAGTGGAAGGGAAGGAAGGAAGGAGGGAGGGAGTGGAGGGAAGTAGGGAGAGAGGTTATATGTATATATAGAGAGAAACGTTGATATAAGAGAGACATTGATTAACCTCCCACACGCACCCCGACTAGGGCCAGGAATGAACCTGCAACCCAGGTACGTGCCCTTGACCGGGAATTAAACCTGCGACCCTTCAGGGTGAAGGCTGACACTCTACCACTGAGCCACACTGGCCAGGACCCAATACAGGGATTTATGTTGCCATAGAAGGAATCATATGTTATGTGAAGTGACAGCCACACTTTCTAGAAGTAACAATTGCACTTTCTAGATATTCCTTCTGTTGCTGAAGGGAACAGATTTTTAACTGCAGGGTTTTTCTACTTATTGGTTGCCAAAGCGGCAGAGTGGATGGAAACATCAGGGCAGAGCTTTGATGGTGTGTCATTACTGGGGTATTTGATTTCCAGTGGACAGAGCCCAGTGTGAGTAGAGTGGAGGCTGTCCCTGGTGGTGATGAGCCTAGGGTACCTGGAGGGAAGCAAGGGGCTCCAGGGATGCAGAGTGGGACTGCAGCTCACAAGGCCCCCATGGGTTACTTTTTTACCTTCCTGTACTGCAGTTGTTTGAATTAAACAATTCTGTGCATACCTCTGGCCAAGCAGTGCTCTGTCCAGTGTCTGAAATTGACCTTCTCTGGGACCCTGATCAGAAATTCCCCGCACCCTCAATCCCCACTCCTGGGCCTAGAGCCGAAAAGTCCAGTGGGTGGAAGGAAGGGGACAGGCAGGAGAGGGAAGGTGGGGGGGGGATGGAAGGGAAGAGGGCTGGGGCAGGACCAGGGGAATCTGGGACCAGAGATGCCTCTCACGGGCTTGTTCGCAGCCTGCCAGCCAGGGCAGCAGTAAATTTCTGGCTGACTAGTGGCGGCCTCGACTGGCATCCTCCCTGTCGGTCTGGAACACAGCTGTGGAACTCTGGGTTTTTTGCAGACATAGATGAATGTGCAGATGCAGATGCCTGTGGGGAGGCGCACTGCAGGAACCTGCCAGGCTCCTATTCCTGCCTGTGCGACGAGGGCTACGCGTTCAGTTCCCAGGAGAAGGCCTGCCGAGGTACCTGTCCCCAGCTGCCGCAGGTGCTACACACATACATGCACTACATGCATGTGAACACGTACGTTGTTATATATGCATGAGCGTGCCCATGTATGTGCACACACATTGTACATGTGCACACGACACACAGATGCACGCACACTTGTTTCTTGATGCAGCTGGGCATCTTCTCCAACATGCCACAGACACAGAGACCAGATCCCACAAGGAAATGCCCCTGTGCTCCTGTGGCAGACTGAGGCTTCTCTCCAGCCTCAGTTCAACCTGCCGTATTTGGGGACAGGCCTGTGAGATCTTACTTCCCCTGCTGAGTCCCAGCCATGTCCTCGGGGAGTGCAGAGAGATGTGTTCTCTCTCACCAGCTTCTTGCCTGGTGCCCTGGTGGCTACCCAGACCTTGAAGAAGATGATAAGTGGCCTCGGCCCCTGCACCCTTCTCCATTTCCCCTCCAGGGTCACCCCTCCAGTCCCTCAAACACCCCAGGGACTCCTGTCCATGGCACCAACCTGCCCAAAGCCTTCAAGCCAAGCATTGTGCAGATGTGCTTGCTCACTGACCTGGTAGTATGTGGTGGGCTTAGCTTGTCCTAATGTCCTTCACCTTGTACAGCAACTTCTCCCCTCCGGAGAGAGCAGGGGAAGCTTAGACGGCTGAGGCTGGCCCAGCCTGGGTGCCGAGCGTGACTTCTGAGGCCAGGGTGGGAGCTCTGGGCATGGGGGCTTGGGGTTGGGTGCCTCATGAGTCACATAATCTAGAATTCATTTTCACGGTGAACATACCATGTATGGGATCAGAGAGAAAGTGTGTGCAATTGCACAAAGTGAGGTTGGGGACATCTCCCTTGTGGCCGACAGATGTGGACGAGTGTGCAGAGGGACGCTGCGAGCAGGCCTGCGTCAACTCCCCAGGGACCTACACCTGCCACTGCAACGGCCGCGGGGGCCTCAAGCTGTCCCATGACATGAACACCTGCGAGGTAGCACCGCTTTAGAAGCTGGTGGGGAGGGTTGCTGGGAGAAATGCTTTTGCTGAAAGGCGTGGTGTACTTGGAGCCACAGGGAGAGATGTGGGATGGGAGACGTGCTTGTCCCGTCCCAGGTGTTTGGTTGTATCTATGAGCTCACTACAGCAGCTGTCCACTCCACACCCGCCAGGTGGTATGGCTCTGCAGTGTCACTCGTTTGCACAGTAAGGAGCATTTCCTGGCCCCCTCATGTTCCTCAGGTGTGTAGTCAGTGCTTCCTGACTCAGGTTGGCCCCTGACCATCCCCTTGGCTGCTGTTGTCCCTCTGGGCAGTGGAGAAGCTGCACTGTAGAGCAGCTTCCAGTAATCAGGGAAACAAAGGAAATAACAAAGCACACCTGACTCGCTTAACCTGGTCAAGATAAGCTTCCGGGAAGCTTGAGTCTCCAAATACTGCTCAACTGATGATTTTTAAAAAAAATCACAATTAGCATATCATTATCCATAAAGAATTTTCTTAAAAAATGAAATGCCTACCAAGACAAGTAACATAAAACCTAGAAAAATGGTCTGATTAATCAGCTAAAGTATACAAACAAATTCTAGCAATCAGAACACTAATGTTTTAAAGATTGCCAGGACATCAGGAACACAATGTTACTGGATGGCAACTTTATAGAAACAACAGTCTCCAAGGCCTCCATATTTTATTGATTTTACAGTATTTTGTAGTTGATTTTTATTATTCCCTGTACTGTTCTGTAGGTTTGGAATATTTCATAGTTTAAAACAATAAGAGGAAAAGGAACATTAGCAGGGAAGGAGGGCAGTGGCACAGCAGGGAGAAGCACTGTAGGGTATCAAGCCGTAAGCATAGGAGCCCCAGGCTTCTGGAGAGACCCGAGTCTACCCTTACCTGGAATCCCCCACATGGTGGGTGGGTTATCACAGAATCTCTGGGGGCTTCAGCAAGAACCCAGCCCTGGCACCCAAGCACTTCCTGGGTGCATGCCAGGGGCCCTCACTGGGCAGGGTGTGTGGCAGGACACAGAGGGCCAGTCCTGTGTCAGGACAGGCCCTTCGTAACTGGAAGAAGGGCTGAACCAGGGCATGCCCCTACATGACACTTGCATTCCCATTCTGACAGGACATTTTGCCCTGTGTGCCTTTCAATGTGGCCAAAAGTGTGAAGTCCTTGTACCTGGGCCGCATGTTCAGTGGAACACCAGTGATCAGACTGCGCTTCAAAAGGTTGCAGCCCACGAGGTGAGAAAGTGGCTTACACAACGCAAAGCAGCCCCAGCAGGTCCCCAGGGAGATGGCCGTCTGATGGCCCCACTCCCCGTGTTCCCAGGGCGACACCCAGAACAGTCCTGGCCATCAGCTCAGTCTTGGCACGGATGCAGCCAAAGCATGGTCTCAGTGCTGGGATCTGGTTTGGCACCAGCAGGACCCCTGCCATGGGAACTCTGCCCTGGGTGCCTGCGGCGGGCCTGGCCTGCATTTGCGACCTGACGCCGGCCTGCTTCCCTGCTTATCTTCCTGAGTCCAGTTTGAGCTCTCAGGGAAGGAGGCCGAGAGCCACCGACCTGCATGTAACCACTTTGTTTCTCGGTGCTGGCGCTCAGATTGGTGGCCGAGTTTGACTTCAGGACCTTTGACCCCGAAGGCATCCTCTTCTTTGCTGGCGGCCATCAAGGCAACAACTGGATTGTCCTGGGCCTGCGGGCCGGCCGGCTGGAGCTGCAGCTCCGCTACCATGGCATCGGCCGCGTCACCAGCAGCGGGCCCGTCATCAACCACGGCATGTGGCAGACGGTGAGTGTGGCCACCACTCCCTTTTTCCCATCCTGGGCCGGCCTGGGGCCTCCTAGGATGAGGGCCCCAGCACTCAACAGTTAGTGGGTACTGCACATGGCAGGACAAACCCCCCCCCCAGAAGCTAGTCTGATGGGGTGTCATCTCATCATGTAATCAAAGTGTGGCTCCCATCTCGAAAACCATGATTCTCAGCAGAAACAGTTCCACCAGGGGACATCTGGCTGTGTCTGAAGACAGTTTGGGGGTTGGGGGACCCTGACACTGGGTCAAGGTCAGGGGGGCCGCTAGATACTCTGCAGCACACAGGATGTCCCACTGCAGAGAACCCTCCGGTTCAGACTGTTAATAGTGCTACAGCGAGAAACCTTGATCAAGCTCCAGGCACCTGCTCCTGTCTCTGGGTGGCCTGTCCAGGCTCCAGGAGCTCACCTGTCAGTGTAAAGCAGGGTCAGATGTGACACACTGACACCATCCCTGGCTTCAGTTTCTGGAGTCTGCTCTATTCCTGCTGAAATCCAGGCGTCCTCACACTCGGGTGCCTCTTTATAGAGAATGTCCTGGTCAGACTGGGCCTAGAGGCAGCTGTCCCCCCAGATGTTGGCTTTGGAGCACAATCCCTGGTCCTGTATCCCACTGCCCGGAGCAAAGCAGCCTGTGAGACAACAGGCTCCCTCCAACAATTCAGAGGCTCCTTAATTGGAAGTGGGCCTTTGAAAGTAAACACTTGAAAGAGAAATAAAAAAAGTGTTCTCTTTTCCTTTAGAAGTGAAGATAAAATGGAAAATTTCACCAGCCTCTGTGAATAAAAACACTGAAGGTGTTTGCTAATATTTCCACCCTGTCAAGTACTGTTTAGCTCCTTCTTTCCTAACCTCTTAAAGTGCAAGTATCTTCAAAGCAGCAGAGCTGCAGATAAAACACTAAATCTGGAAGGAAGCAGCTGCAGGAGTTGAAGCAGGTGTTCCACTCCATGGTTGTGGGGCCTGAGGGGCCCTGGGTGGGGCTGGGGACAGTTCCTGAGGTGAGGAAGCCCGAGGAAGCATGACCAGCCAGTGGACATAGCTGCCATCCCACCCTGAGACAGGAACTGGTCACTGAGGCAGGGGTAGCTCAGTGACGATTTCTTTCCTTTCTGCCGTTTCTAACCAGTCCCTGCCCCCAGCAGCACCCCACATACAGATTCCACACTCTTTTGACCAAACTCAGACTCAGGTACCTAAATGTCTCTGTACATTAGCCAAAGAGGAAATTGATAGATTTCTGGAAGATTAGGAAGATACACAATATACAGAGTGGTAGATTTTAAATTTTTTTACATGGAAAGTAGAAAAGAATGGAAGGTCTTAGAATGAACTCATATTCATTCAGCATTCAGTGTACTCCAGGCACTGAGTTAGGTGTTAGAGGTTTAGAAATAAAATGTGGTTTCCTGCCTTCATTGGACCAAAATGGGGGAGCATCAACGTCAGGGCTGACCTTAGTGGGGTGGAAACATCAGGGCTGACCCAGTGGGACAGCGATGTCAGGGCTGGCCAAATGAGGTGGTGATGTCTGTGCTGACCCAGTGGAGCGGTGATGTCAGTGTTGACCCAGTGGGACAGCAATGTCAGTCACAATTCCCACTCCCTGGCTGAGGTTTAGGGTAGGGCTCTGAGACACAAGATGAAATGGTGCCAAGCCAGTTCCCTTGCAGGGAGACGAGGAATGGGTGTAATAGTGCTGGGAGGGAACCTGTCAGAGCCTGAGCCACACCACTAGCTGTATGGAGGCTGTGTGGGCACATGGAGGCAGGGAGGAGGTGTAGGTGATGAGTGTAGTCAACCTGAGGTTGGGTGTCTCTTGGTCCTAGGTGGTGATGAGCATCCCCCTGAGGTTGGGTGCCCCTCAGAAGGTACACTCCCACCTCTCACAGCGCTGGTTTTCTCCAGATCTCCATTGAGGAGTTGGAACAGAATCTGGTCGTCAAGGTGAACAAGGATGCTGTTATGAGGATCGTGGTGGCTGGGGATCTGTTTCAGCAGGACAGAGGACTATACCATCTCAACCTTACCGTGGGAGGCATTCCCTTCAAGGAGAAAGACCTCATCCAGCCTGTAAGTGCCATCATTCACCCCTGGGGTCAGAACCCGGGATCGGTCTGAAGACAAGGGTTAGCTGTGAGCTGCTACGTGATTAGCATTAACCAGGTTTGGCAAAGGACCCGGAGAAAGGTAAAGTTTTCGAGAAGTTAACAAGCAGCAGGTGCAGCTGATATCATTAATCTCACCATCACTTTCTATGAGACTCATTTGAGTATTCCTCTGAATTGATAATAAACATGTCTATTTTGCAGTGGAGATAAAACACAATGAAATTATTCTTTAACAAAAAGAGCAATCAACTTTTTTGGACAATTCCCAAGAACATTTGTGTTGTTAACCCTGCCAGGATTTCCATAGGGGAAAAAGACCTAATGGGGAGGTCAGTACTGGTCATGTTCAAAGTCCTGCCCTTTCCCACCCTTCCCCTCACCACATGCCTTTGCCCCTCATCTGTGTTTCTCCATCTCCCAGCATGCTGATGTCGTGGCGGGAACCTCTGGCACTGTAGTGATGGTTTCCACGCCAGATATGAGGAATGAGTCATGAGTGCATCGATGTTCTGAATAGTGGGTGGTATTAGCACTATCTTTCCTCCAGGGGGTAGATGAGGGATGTCCTGCACATGACCTACTGTCTCAGACCCCATTCCAGGCTTCCAACCCAGTGACATTCCTTATGTCACCTCATTTTATACATAAAAGCTGAGGTTCCCTGATTTGCTTGAAACCATATAGAAAGTGGATGGCTGGACTGAAATCAGTATTCCTGGCCCCAGGACTTACATCCATAGGTGCTTTGCTTTTTGGATGCCGAGTAAGAATATCAGGCACAACTGCTGTGTAAGTGTCACCTTGCCCCACATCGTTTCAGGGTGTGGCTGGTGCCCTTTATTCAGTTTTGTAAGTGGGGACACCCAATGCAGAGAGAGCAGGTGGGGTTCCCTACACGATACATTTCTCTTTAGACTGCATGGAAAGAGGGCCTACTGCGTGTGCTACACTCAGAGGTATCCTGCAATGGGTCATTTGTCAAGGACAGTGCCCCTTTGGGAAACAAATCACCTCCACAAGTTGGATTTGGCCGTTTTGCGGTAGATTTCCACATGCTCAGAGAGTATCATGTTCATCTGCTGAGTTGGCAGCAGCCACGTGGTCTGTCATCAGGGTATCTGGGAGCCTGTGTGGCTCCGAGGAAGCCACTGGGATGTCTCTGTCTTTCTAGATAAACCCCCGCCTGGATGGCTGCATGAGGAGCTGGAACCTGATGAACGGTGAAGACATCACCATCCAAGAAACAGTAAAAATGAACACGAAAATGCAGTGCTTCTCTGTGACAGAGAAAGGATCCTTCTACCCTGGGAATGGGTTTGCTTTCTACAGCCTTGATTATGGTGAGTCTCAGCTCCTAGGTTGGGTTGGCTGTAGCTGCGCATTAAGCCAATCTACTAAACAGTAGAAAAACCAAGAAACAGCTTCTTACCTAGGATGGTAGTGTCAGGGATAAGCTGGGCCCACCATGGGCTGTGGGACAGGAGGCAGCGGGGTGAGGGCAGTGAGTTAGCCAGTGAGGAAGAGATGACCAATGGAGAGAAGACAGGACCCACTGCAGATGCTGTGGTGGCTGAGATGGGGAAGCTGGGCAGGATCAGAAGGTTCTAAGAGGGCACTTTGCAAAAGGTTCTGAGTTTAGAACCTTTTGCTTAGGTGGGCATGACAAGATGGGCTTAGGGCTTGTCCCAGTGGATGGAGAAGCTGCTAGAATGTACTTGACATTGCAATCTCCAAAGACTAATGAGGAGCAAAAAGGGGGCAGTATCTTAAAAATCACAGTGTGGCTCATTCGAGTTTTAAAAGAAAGAGAAGAACCAGAGAAGGAGAGGGCCATCTAGGACCAATAGAAGCCGGTGGCCCAGCCCCGGAACCCTGCCCAAGGAGGCTGACATTGTCAAAAGAATTGAGGCTCAACAAGCCAGTGTTGAAAGCAACAAAGGAGCTTTTCATTTGTACCTGGAGAGAGAAAGCCCATGCGAAAGGAACACGAAGCTCGAAGCTGGTGTTCGATATCTAAACCCAGCAGGAAGAAGGCGGGAGATGGGCAGGCCAGGGGGGAGGCAGGTGTGGCCAGCTGGGGCTCTGACACTGTTTGCACACACAGTTGTGTGTGGGGATATTGAGGGTTGGGGCCTGAGGTTAGCTGGGAATCCCTTGCCCATCAGTAACAATGGTCTGGGAAGTGAGTGTAGCTGCAGAGGGTCAGCCCAGAGGCCCTCCTGGCTTCTGTAAACAGGGTCTTTAATCTCTTAAAACAAAATGCAACTCATTCATCTCTTTCCTTTTATTATCAAATTAGTGAAAATTTACAGTAAAAACAAATAAACCTCACATGCTGACAATTGAGCATTCACTTAAGCATAAATCTTACAGGAAATGAATTAACATTCCAAATCTCATTACTGATTGTCCAATGATAGAAATGCTGTAATGAGGACGTTGCATGAATGATTTAGATGGGTGGTAGGTGGCTAAGAAATTCTGTTGTTTGACTCTGGACTCACAAGACTTTCCCTAATCATCCCCTTAGGTAGAGTTAAAATTATCCTTTGTTTCTTGAGCATATACCAGTTGGAGCCCTTAATCATCACTATGCCTGGGTTCATAGACCTGAGTGGCTTTGAGCTTGAGAATGCTAGGAGAGCCGTATGTCCTGGCCCAGGAAAAGACACATGCATAGAATTGTGCAAGCCCTATGGGCAGTTTCACAAGCCCCCTAGAACCCGCCATGGAACCCATGTCCAGAGCTTTCTCTGTCTGATTGCTCTTACGGGTGCTTCCTGAGTCTCGCTGGCTCCTGGCTCATGCCCTGGCCCAGGCAGGCTCTGTGAGGATTCCTCGTGCTCCCTTTTCCATGGCCCACAGCTGCCCAGGACCCCAGCGCTGCTGCAATGGCCATCTCTCCTGGGGCCATTTCTGGCTTTGCCCTGCCTCTCTCTTCATTCTCTCCCTGCAAGAGTCCCACTGGGGTGGCCCAGCCCCTCTCCGTCCCTAAACTCTGAGCCCTTTATGGTTCAATGCCCACACTTGGTCTTCCCCCTGCTCATGAGCCCAGGGCAGGCAGCGTGCTCCCTCCACACCTCAGCTCCACATGTCACCTCTGGTACCCAGTGGGACCTCCAAGTTCAAGGAGGGCCCGTCCAGCTCAGAGGACAGGAGACCTGCTCCTCCCTCCTTAGCAGGACAGCCCATCCTCTCAGGACCATGTATCATCACCCCCCTTGGTATCTTTGTTTTAATTGTCAGAGCATTACTATGTCAGTAAAGATCTTTTGGAGAAAAGAACCATTCACTCCTAATTGCACCTCCTAATATAACACATACATTGTTCCTTTAGACTTCATCTTTATACATACAAAGCTAGGGCATCATTATAATGTTTAATGTCAAATCACATAATATAAAACATTTAGTTCTTTTTTCACTTAATATTATAAACATTTTTCATGGTATAACAGAAACATCACAGGTATAATCTCCAATGACCACAAATGCTCCCATTACCATACACGTCACAGTCTGCTCACCATCTCTGCTGTTTGGATTTGATCTGTAAGTTCTGTGACAGCAAAGTCCAAATGGTATTTAGAATCTGCATTTTTAATAAATCTTGAACTCTGCCATTAATGTCCAATTTATAACACAGAAAGGACTCATTGGGAAATTGTAGGTCCTGTGCTCTTTCACTCTGCAGTAGTTCAAAGTTGGTTTGGACTCATTAGGTCTTGAGGTCTGAGAAGACCGGGGCAGGGCAGGGTGTGTAGAGATCCCATCCTGTGCCTGAGGAAACTTCCCAAGGAGAGCTGAGGCGCTGGTGCCTGTAAAAATGCTCTCACAACCAGCCAAATGCCCAGACCCATCAGAGGGGAAACCTATATGCCAGAGAACACTATTCTCTCTTCCTTCACAAATAAAGGGAAAACTTGGCAACAGAGGAATACAGTTTATATATATATATGTATATAAATATGTATATATATGTACATATAGTTATTTTTTAAATCTGTGTGCATTCAATTCAATGAACAATTATTGAGAACTGACCATAGTAGACCCCATTTAGGGATGGGACCCACAGATAATTTGAGGAGCTCACAATCCAGTGGGGAGGAGACAGAAACCAGTGTCATGATTCACCCTTGTGGTAACCCTGACCTGAGCTTAAATGGGTGCAGATGTTGCTTCAGTGTCATTCTACCTGAACATCTCTCCTTCATCAGGATTTCAAGTTCTTGTCAGATAGAAACACTTAAGAGGGCAGAGGCTTTCTCTGGCTTCTTCATCAGCAGGTGACTCAAACATAAGGGGAAACATGGCCCTCAAAGAACCATGATCTAGCTCTTCCTACTAAAATGTGGTTTTTGGAACTGTTTGTGTAAGATGTAGACAGATACTGTACACATTTTTCATTTAGATGCATTATATATGATGTCATATCACTTCTATTTGATATATAATGTATCTAAATAAAAGTCACTCCACTGAGGCATTGGAATAGTAAAATATTTGCAACACAGAATACACAATTGTGTATGGTCTGTTGAGGTGACATTCGTGGCAGCTTCTATTTGCATTGCATTTTAAACTCTTCAAAGTACTTCCAGCCTTGTAGTGCTTCCTGGGGATTGAGGGCTGTGAAACTCCCAACAGATTCTGTGGAAAGAGCTGAGTCCTGCAAGAGAGGAAGTGAGAGAGCCCAGGGGAGGTGGATGTCCATGGCCCACGTGGCACGCCTGCACCTGCTGTCCCAGCAGGTCTGCGGTCTTATGGTCACTCGAAGGAGTATTTGGGAGATGAGAGCACTGGCATGGCCAGGAAGGCAGCAGTCATCCTCGGGTGGCCCCAGTGCCTTTTGACTGTGGGCGGAGCTTGAATCAAGTGCCCGAGTTGTCCTGTCACTTCCCAGCTATGGTCCGTTGGCTCAAATAGTGAATGATGGATTCTTAAAAGCTCAGCATCGAGTTCTTGTTTGGCTTCCCAGCTGCCTCCGCAGCGCCAAGGCAGGGTCGGGAGCTGCTGCGGGTGTTCTCTGCTCACTCCCACCTTTCCCTCGTTTGTATGGCCTCTTGATGCGCCGCCTTCATCGCAGCACGTACATCCCCAGACGTCGGGACCGAAACCACCTGGGAAATAGAGGTCATGGCTCGGATCCGCCCCGCCACTGACACAGGGGTGCTGTTTGCGCTGGTGGGTGATGACCACACTGTCACCCTCTCTGTGGCCCTGGTCGACTACCACTCCACCAAGAAGCTCAAAAAACAGGTACCACTCACTATCCTGCCCCGAGGATGGAGGGGCTGCCCTAGCGTCCAACAAACAGCCCTTGGGGCTATCTGCCTTCGGGGTCCCCAGCTGCCCTTCCCGGGGTCAGTTCACCCCTTCCCTGTCTCTGGAAGTTTTGTCCCACCCTCACACGTCTCTCACCATAGTCTAACCAGCCGTGCTTGGCTTGGGGACACTGTTGACATAGATCACCGGACACAGTTGTCCATTTAAGCCGTTGTGGGCTGGGGAGGTCAGGGGCCTTCCAGCCAGTTGTGCGGTGGGGTGACTTTCCCACCTATACCCTTGGCCAGCTCTGCGATATAGAACTATTTGAATTAGTTGCTCATGTTTAAGTCTAATGATTTCACTAACAAATTCAGATCTCCAGTTTCTCTTAGAAAGTCAGATTTGCAAACACAGCCCAGACCTTCTGAGAACATTGTTCCCTGGGTGACAGAGGCAGAGCTCTGAGTAGAGCTGCCCCTAGACACAGCCTGCCCTCTCCACTTTTACTCAGTCCCCACCACTTCCTACTGTCTCCTGGCTCTTAACTATCTCTGGCCTTTGGACTTACTGTTTTCTTAGAGAACAACTGACAGGTACTAGAAATAGGTTTTATTCTCTCACATCTGTGCAAAGGGGGAAAGCATGGCTGACCCAAAGGAGTACAGGTTCACCAGCCAGCCTGTTCTCAGAGGCAGTCAAGCCCTTCTGCTGACCAGGGCTAGGCACTAAATGGTTTGGTTTACGCCCAGACTCACTCACCACCACCAAGGCACAGGTGCACTTTTACACCTGTCCCTGGCATTTGGAATAAACAGCTGTCGTGACCACCAGGCGGGGAGAGTGAAGGAGGAGAGGGGAAGATTTCCTGTGCTATAGTTTCTGATCTGTCAGAGTGTGTTTCTGGCCCATGGTGTAGAGAGTGTTTCTGTTCTGTGCTGTCAGATTGTGTTTCTGACCTACGTTGTCAGAGGCATGTTCTGCCCGGCATGAGCACCCCGGCTGCAGGGCCCAGCTGCCTGCTGGAATGTTTATGCTTGCTGCCCACCCTTGCTGTTCTGTGTTGGTGGCTTCCTGGGGTACCTCCCAGCCCGTAGGAGATCAGTGCCACCAAGGAGCATGGGGAAGACCAGCAGGCCTCTAGCCCAGGACAGGGCACACAGTCTGAGTTGCGGGGCTGTGCTGCCCCCACCCCTGGGTGCTCAGGTGTGCTTCTCCCCTGCAGCTGGTCGTCTTGGCTGTGGAGAATGTCACCCTAGCCCTCATGGAGATCAAGGTCTGTGACAGCCAAGAACACGTGGTGACCGTCTCTGTGAAGAAGGGTGGGGCCACCCTGGCTGTTGACGGCACCAAAGGCCAGAGTGAAGTGAGCCCTGCAGAGCTGCAGGAGAAGCTGGCCGTCCTTGGGAGGCACCTACAGGGCCCTCTGCTCACCTTCATCGGGGGACTGCCAGGTAGGACTCCCTGTGGGCTGCATGCTGAGAGGTGGGGGCAATGGCCACTCTGACCATCCCCACCTTCCTTACCCCAAACTGAGCCTGGGAGTTTCTGTACTGAGATGGACTTTTGTTTTAGAGCTAGAGAAAATATAGGTAGGTTTATTGGCTGGCATTGCGATGTCTTCACTTTCATGAACACCAGCCTATAGCTTATTGGTTGAGGTTGAGAACATGCTCCTTGGGAACAAGTGTCGGCCTGAACCTGCCCCACCTCCCCTGCATCCTCCAGGAGCACCCAGCTGAGCATGCGTCAGACAGTGACTCTGGCCAAGGCCCATGGGAAGGCCCAGCTGACCCAGGGCCAGACTAGAGCCAGGTGCCCCAGTGCTCTGGGCCTTCCTTCCCCGCTGAGTCCTGGGGCCCAGCCACCACAGCAGTGAACAGAGTAACCACCAGCCCATCTGAGTCCAGGGAGGGCCAGCACACAGCTGCCTCCTACAGACGGGGTGGGATCTGTTTCTGATCAGATGGAGAGTGTCCTTGCTCATGTTGCCTGTAATAAGCCGAGGGATCGGGGCAAAGTCGTAAAAAGACAGATGAGAGCCAGGTGCTTGTTACATAAGCCAGTCTCTGTTGGCTCCCGTGGCTCAGTGCAGGTTGTCACTTGCCTCGGGTAGCAAGGTTTCTGTCTTGGCTACCAGACACAAACTCCATTTAGTTTTAATAAACAAAGATTTGAAGAGGGTGCGAGAAGGCCAGGAAGCCCTGCAGCATGGATGATTCATTTGGGCCAAGAAGAAGGTAATATTTATTTAACAGACTTGACTATCTGTGTGTACTTCCTTGGGGGGCAATGGGGGCTTCTTGCCAAAGCCTGACTGGCAGATGTTTAGTGCCTGCCTGTGAGCACGTGGCCCAGCCGGGATGGCAGTGTTCTGAAAGCAAAGGAAACAGTGCCCTTGAGGAGGAAGGCCAGGGACTGAGAGGGACCCACGGTGCCAGTGAGCGCTGCGGCGGGGGATGCCAGGGTGGGGAGCCCAGCCTCCTAAGACGGTGTTTGTTCTTTCCCCGCTGGCCCAGATGTGCCAGTGACCTCAGCGCCAGTCACAGCTTTCTACCACGGCTGCATGACGCTAGAGGTCAACCAGAAGGCGCTGGACCTGGACGAGGCCGCCTACAAGCACAGCGACATCACGTCACACTCCTGTCCTCCGGTCAAGCAGGCTGCCCCCTAGACTGATCGCTGCTGCAGGATGAGAGGCCGCAAAGCGCTCCACGCTTCCTTTTCAAAACAAGTGAAAAGGGAAGGCACCCCAGCCCACCCCACGCGAGCAGCTCCCCAAACACTGAATCCTCGCGAGCTGAGTTTCTTTTGAGACCTTTATCTTGTAATATAAGTGTAAATAGTTGTGAAGACTAATGTTAATGACCCAGAAACACACCCCGAGCCCCAGAGTGTCCTGCGTGCAGCTGGGCTCCAAGGAGCCGACCTGAGGGTGGAGGAGGGAGGCCTGCACAAGCCAAGGGGACCCAGGAACATAATTCTGTTATTTTTATTACAAAATGCTTCTTTCTGACCTAAAAATATAGAAAAATAAAATATTTACAGAAACCTTTGTAACTCTGTGTGAGCAGTCCACTCCTTGCATCTTTTAGTGCTCAACAGCTAGGGGTAAAAAGACTTAAGGAAGAACTCACCATGCACCCGAGGGAGGCCTTGTGCATGAAGGTCACTTCTGCCCACTCCCCGGAATCTCCCCAGCGCCCACCTGAGTTTCCAGTCCCTGGTGGAGCTGGCCACTGTGTAAGCAATGCGCCCACTTCCCTCAGGAAGAGGCAGGCTGCCCCCCTGGCACCCCTCCCAAGCTGTGCAGTGGTGAGTAAATGAAGGCACAGGGCTGGCCCCTGCTCATTTCTCCTTCATCCCTCAGCCTCACATTTTCTCTGAGGCTGAGAGCAGGGTTGAAATGGAACCGGGAGATCGGTCCCACTTACAGCTCCCCCTGAGCCTCAGCTTCTGGTCTGTGAGGGTGGAGTAGACAGTCCTCACACGCTGACTCTGAGAGGGGCAATGACAACACCAGCTGTGTGGAAAACGCATGTGGGGTGCTGGGAGCCACCAGACACACGGTGGAGGTCACCAAGGCCTGCGGTCCTGAGGGGGAGGCCAAGGCCCAAGGTTGGAGGTTACTGTGGGACATGTCCATTCTCTGCCTGATGTGACTGTAGGGGAGGGGGCACATGCCCCACAGCCAGTAGTGCCATCGCAGTCGGCATTCAAGCAGAGGGTCCCAGAGAAGTTTTCGGCATCTGCTGGGGGCTGTACTCAATGACTAAGATTCTTTTTTTTTTTTCTTTTTTTAAATACCAAACCCCAGTGTATGGTCTGAGGCAGTAGGGCAGGTTTGGGTTGTTTACTTTCAGGTCCTGTTCCTCAGATGGCAGCAGAGTGTTCCACAGGTTCGTCATTTCATCATTATGGAGTTAATCCCTAAAAGCCACCTTAGCCAAGCACAGAATCAAGCCGGCTAGGTTTCAGTGTCTTTGCATCCTGGCTGCTGAGTGTGAGTTTATAAGTCACAGCTTGACTCAAAGATAAGCAGGGTTCAGAAAGGAGGATGGAAGCCTGAAGAATCCACCCCCAGCTAAATAACACATGAAAAGCAAAGTGGGTGTGGCACCACGGAGGAGGAGAAACGCCCCTCTGGATTTCTGAGAAAAATGGGAATGGCCCCGAGGACTGCATCAGAGGCCCCAACTGGCTGGGTCGCCCGGCTGGGTCGCCTGGCTGGGTTGGCAAGGTGTAACGACCCCAAGTGCACCCATGTGGGAGGAAGCAATTGTCCCTTTTCACCAGAGGGCTGGCACACCCTTTAAGGGGCAAGGATCCCCATCACACAGGGGAGAGTTGGCAATCACAGACACCCATCAAGAGGGACCTCCCTGGGCCAAGCTTACCTCAAAGATGACCATACTGAGGCATGAAGGTGCAAAGGTATCTTGGCAAGGACACATGAAAGCAGAGGTGCTTAAGCCCCCAGGTCCCAACAGGGCTGGCTCGAGTAGCCAGGGTCCACTCCACTGAGGGTCACCATGGGTCCTTGGCAAACTCACCTGTCTTTGGGGCTCCTACTTCCCTGCCTGTCCTGCAACCCCATGTGTATGTCCTGCACCATGTCCACCTGGGCCACCATAGGGTTTCAGTGCAGCTTGCTCAGGCTGTGCTGGCTGTGTCCTGGCTTTTGCTCTCCCTAAACTTTAAGCAGCATCTGGGTGGAAGTTTTGCTGACTCAGGACTTCAGAAAACTAGTCTAAGAGGTTCTTCAGGTAATTTTCCACATTGGTGCATGAGGAATCAGAGATGCAGGAGACATTTGGGGCCTCAGAGAGCACATGTCAGGCAGTCCCTGAGTCATTCAACCAACCGTGTCCTCATGAAATGTCCATCATGAGCAGAGGGCCTGTGTGGAAGGATGGTCCTCACCTAGCCTCTTCTCCAGGCTCTGTGGGTCTCCCCCCCCCCCCC